AGCCAATTTGAATGCTCAGTTGACTGAGGTTCACGTCTAATGAATAATAATAATAATAATAATAATAATAATAATAATAATAATAATAATAATAGTAGTAGTAGTAGTAGTAGTAGTAGTAGTAGTAGTAGTAGTAGTTGTTTATCCCAACTCTTCTCAAAGTTAAGTCCTAGTTCTGAGAAAGTTGGTGGATCAATATTAATTTAATAACCCTGTTTTTAGGAAGGAAAATAAAATATGCCTGTGGAAGACCACAAGTGCAAAGTCGAAAGCATCCCAAAATTCAAGATGGCAAGCTGTGTGTATGTGGGCCTCTTCCCGTGCAGAGCTAAGCCTCACTCTGTTTCTTTCAAAATGAGAAAGGTTAAACAGCAGGCACCAAGTTCAGTGGAACTTCAGAGGTCTACCCGCAAAACATTCTTAAAAGCTTTTTAAACACACCCAGTAACCAATAACCCAAACAAACATTATTCCTTTCTTGTTTAAACACTGCACTTCTAAATTATTTCTAGGAACAGAAAAGGAGCAGAGAAACCAAAAAATAATCCAAAGAGACCAATATTTCTTTCCTCAATTAATCAGTAGTCATAAACAAATGGAAATCTTAAAAGCTGGAACTCAGGCAAGCTGTCCATCGGTCTATAACCTTTAAGGAGGCACGCAAAATATTTAGTAAGGCTCGCCCTGCTGGATCCAAATAGCCACAAAATACACAATGCACAATCCGATTGAATTATTTAAATACAGAGGCAGGAAATCAACCATATTTAGACAGAGATTTCCAATTGGTGTCCACGGAACCCAGAGTAGCTACAAAAAAGTAAGTGCGTACTGGTCAACTGTGCTTATAATTCTGCCCGAAGCAACCTCAACCAGGAACTCTTTCCACCAATAAACAGCAGAAGTGAAGACCTGCATGCTATGAATATTAACACTGTTAAAAATGAGGAAGAAAAATAGCCTGTATGTTTACATCATAAAGAAATCACAGCCCCAGACTGGATCACATTGTTTAAAAGATGTGTCCAGTTCTGGTCACCACGATACAAAAAAGTTGTTGAGACTCTGGAAATTGTGCAGAGAAGAGCAATGAAGATGAGAAAGGCTAAACTGTATGATGAACAAGAATAGAATAGAATAGAATAGAATAGAATAGAATAGAATAGAATAGAATAGAATAGAATAGAATAGAATAGAATATAGGAGTGAAGAATAGAATATAGGAATGAAGAACAGAACAGAACAGAACAGAACAGAATAATGAAGAATAGAATAGAATAGAATAGAATATAGGAATGAAGAATAGAATAAAGGAATGAAGAATAAAACAGAATATAGAATAGATTAGAACAGAATATAGAACAGAATAGAACAGAATATAGAATAGAACAGAATATAGAATAGAGTAGAGTAGAGTAGAGTAGAGTAGAGTAGAGTAGAGTAGAGTAGAGTAGAACAGAATATAGAATAGGAATAGAACAGAACAAAATAGAATATCTTTATTGTCATTGTGTATCTCACAATGAAATTAAGTGCTGTCCACAGTGCGCACACTACCCACAAGTAAAAACGACAAATAAGAACATACCTTATATACACACATCCTTCACATTCTATTCACCATTGCGCTGCCCCTAATATTGCACTTCAATGTTGTGTTATACAGTGGTATTTAATATGGTTACAGCTCTTGGATAAAAACTATTTTTCAGCCTATTTCTCTTTGTTTTTATTATCCTGTAATAGTTCAAAAAAAGAATGTCCAGGATGAGGGAGCTACGTATGTCTAACCTATCAAAGGGAAGGATTAAAGGGGATAGGATAACCGTCTTCCAGTATATGAGGGGTTATCTCATGGAAGAAGGGATTGACTTATTCTCCAAAGAAGTCATGAATGGAAGCTTTTTGAAAGGGATATCCAGTCTAGAAGTAAGGAGAAATTTCCTAACGGTGAGAACAATTGATCAGTGGAGTAGCTTGCCTTTCAGAGTGGTGGATGCTCCATCACTGGAGGTTTCCAAAACAGATTGGGCAATCATTTGACTGGGATGATATAAGGCTTCCTGCCTTGAGCAGGGGGTTGGACTAGAAGATCTCCAAGGTCCCTACCAGCCCTATGATTCTACGTTCTATGTTCTAGAGCTATCTTCTTCTCCCCTTTACAGGAAAAAGAGAAGAGTGTAAGTTGAATGTTGCCCAACAACCAATTAATTATCAGCATGTGGATTTCTCCTTCCACTCCTGGATGATCCCTTTTGGGGCCATCCCATAATTCTCGATGTCTTGATCAGTTCCAAAGAGACAGCTGAGAAGCACGCAGGAAATCTTGCAGGCAGAAAGTGTGTGTGTGTGTGGGGGGGAACGTCCTGTTAACTGTCTTGTAGATTTCACATCAAAAGTCCAAACCGACTGCGACAATCTTCCAAGTTGGAGGGGTGTGTGTCACCAAAACATCCCTTGTGCGATGCATGTGTGATCTTTCGCACTAAGGTCTCTTTATCGCTGACTGACGGTGAAGCGGGATGATTATGACATGAGAGCAGACATCAGCCTGAGCATATTTTAAGAGGGGGTTTTTCTGTTATTTTTAGAAAATGCAAGTACAAGCCAGCCAAGTTGGGGTTTTGCTTGTGTGTGTGTGTGTGTGTGTGTGTGTGGGTTGCTGGGTTTAAGTGGGAATAAATAAAAACAAGATGTTCGCTTAAGTTTTCTGAACTTTTTCCACTCTTATTTAGACATGTTACTAAAGCTTTTAGACATGTTACTGCTTTGAGCTCCAGCTAGTATTTCCTTTGGAAAGTTCTTCCCCCAAAAAATTATTAATGATGGAAACGAAAGCCCTTTGTAGAACAAAACTATGCAAACAGCATCTTCTGCGCAAAGTAAGGCTAAAATATGCCATTATACTGGATTCTGAACTTGGCAACAAGAGGTTTAAAATATATATATATATATAGGTAGAATCCAAAGAACTTCCCAGTTGGTTTCTTTTATCCAAGGAGGCTTTGGACCATGTTTATTAACATGAATTTATTTCTCATCTCACAGAACAACTTAATTTCAAGGGATTATGAGAAGAGGCCCTACTATTCGTATGTAACGCATTCTCCATCCTCATCGCTCATCCATACCGTGAGAGTTTCCGCTTCTGTCTTAGCTGACATACAGCAAGATTTCTTCCACGTGAAATTTGCTTTCTCATCATTTTCAAAAGAGAACAAGGAGTCAAGAAACACGCTGCAGGCTAGCACTCGGTACGTACAGCAGCCAGGAAAGCCTTGGAAAAAAATCTTCAAATGTACTGAAATATATTCGCAGCAATTTAGCATTTGTTAGCACGGTAAGGAGAGAACGGCATCTGTGTAATGTATGGCGGCAAAAAAAACAGGAATGTGGTAGACTAAAATTGGTCTTATTAAAAGGCAGATGCTTTCATGAGCTGAAGATTATCTTCTGGATGTCAAGCGCCGGGGAAATGGGGAGATTCAGACCGCTCAAATGAGTGGGGGTTAAGAAAGGAATTCAAGGTGGGCTGGACTTAAATCTCTTCCAGTGTTGGAGCAGCCACGACTTCTGGAGGCAGGTTGTTCCACTGGTTAATTGTTCTCCCTGTCAGGGAATTCCTCCTTAGTTCTACTAATGGTTAAGGCAAGTTGGCGGTAGATAAGAGTCAAGGGGATTCATGGAAAACTGGACTTACGTCTCTTGTGGGCACGAAGGGATTCCAAGCTAATGACACGTTTGACCCCCTCCCTCGGGCTTCCTTCTGAGATTAGAGCACTGTACTCAACTCAGCTTGAAGATGGGTAGACTTCAACCCCCAGAATTCTCCAGCCAGCATGGCTGGCTGGAGAATTCTGGGAGTGGAAGTCCACCCATCTTCAAGTTGCCAAGGTTGAGAAACACCAGATTAGAGAAAAGTCAGAGGCAGAGCGGTATGACTCATACTCTTGACGTCACACCAGCTCAATTCCCAAAGGTCCATTCATGCAGATATTATCCAGTGTGATTCCCTGCAGGGATGAAATAGCCATTTCCCAACATTACTTCCAGTGAGGAATCAACACAGCCAGTGCAAAAAGGATACCATATAGTCCATGATACTAATTGCTGCTGGAAGTCTGCAGGGCATCTATCTTCTTTTTTCTGCCCCATTCTTCACAAGAATGACTCAAGCAGTTAAAAGCCAGACGTGGAGACTCCAACAATTAAGTTTGTGTTGGTCAGCGACCATAACAAAAAGTTGCACTAAATCGTTTTGTTTCCCAGATTCCCGGTTTTCAAGTGACCACCATGTTCAGTATCCTTGTTCAACTTTTTTACACTCAGAATTGGAAGAAGAAGGAAAAAAAGGACAGATTTTTCCTCCAGGATTCTAACCCCAAACCCATCTACCATCTTGCTTTGCAGGAGAAAAAGTTGTGGTCCCAAAAGTACTTTTTCCAAAAGGCAACTGGGCTGTCTTGTGTGGGTTATTTTCCCCTCCAAAACTATTTCACTTCTCATCCAAGTTAGAACTGGGTTCTAACTGAGTTAGAACTGAAGAAGTTCCTTGGATGAGAACTGAAACGTTTTGAAAGATGAAAAAAAACCCCAAGAAGTCGCCTTTTGGAAAAAGCATCTTTGGGGTAATCAAGACCCAGATGATCGAGAATCCCCATAGACAGCTAGAAAAAGTCTTCTTTTTCTGAAGACTGAAGTAGCAGGGGATCCACTGGACCATTCCAGGTATATCATCACTATTTCCTGCAAAGGTCCTTCCTTCCCATCATCCACAGCCGAAAGGTCATCTGGTTGATATCCCCGAAAAGTTCTTTTAAACTTACTTTTTTTTTTTTAACCACCTCCCTACAAAAACAGCCTTAAGGATGTGGCTACAAAAAAAAGCAAACAAACATATCTCCAGTTTCTAGTTTGCTTCTTCCAAGCAAGAAATCTATCCCACAATCAGAAGGGATTTAGAAGCCAATTCAAACGCTGGAGAAGAACATGATTGTTACCTTGAATTCTTCCACAATAATAGACAAGGCCTCGTGTCCAGCTTTTCTTAAATCTTCCAACTCCACTTTATGCTTCTCCTGGAAACAAATATATATATAAGAGATGAAAATGAGGAAAAACAGTCAAGTTTTTTTTCCAGGCCACTAAATCTGGGCAGGCGTCACCAACACACTTTAATTTCTATCAAAGAGGCATCGTTGCTACCAAGGCTTTCTCTGCTTCTAGTTCCAGAGTTTTAATTCTAAGACGATAACGTAAGAGACAAGAGATTTTGTTGGATCCTGCTGGGGGAACGTTGGTCTGAACCTACTTTGTAGTCTGATTATGAGTTCTCTTTCACTCCAGCTTAATGAAAAGCAATGGGAACCAAGGAGAATAATTGGCTCATTAGATGCCCAGCCTTGCCCACAGTTAGCAGAAAGGGCAACTTATTCCCAAAGTAATTTAGATTTTTGACCTTCTATGAAACAAGGGGCCCATGCCAGCCCACCCAGCTGTTGCTGTTTTACCACACAACGAAGCTCCCTGCACAGGCATCCACAGGAAGATTCGGTGTCAAGGCAGGAGAGCCAGTTTGGCCTAGTGCAGGGGTAGGCAACCTTGGCCCTTTCATGACTTGGGGACTTCAACTCCCAGAATTCCTGAGTCAGCATGGCTGGTTCAGGAATTCTGGGTATTGAACTGTGCAAGTCATAAAAGAGCCAAGGTTGCCTACCCCTGGTCTAGGGGTTAAGGCACCAGGCTAGAAAGTGGGAGACTGTGAGTTCTAGTCCTTCCTTAGAGCCATAAAAAAACCAGTTGGGTGACTTTGGGAATATGGAATGGAATGGAATGGAATGGAATGGAATAGAATAGAATAGAATAGAATAGAATAGAATAGAATGGAATGGAGTGGAGTGGAGTGGAGTGGAGTGGAGTGGAGTGGAGTGGAGTGGAGTGGAGTGGAGTGGAGGAGAGAATGGAGTGGAGTGGAGTGGAGTGGAGTGGAGTGGAGTGGAGTGGAGTGGAGTGGAGTGGAGTGGAGTGGAGTGGAGTAGAGTAGAGTAGAGTAGAGTAGAGTAGAGTAGAGTAGAGTAGAGTAGAGTAGAGTAGAGTAGAGGAGTGGAGTGGAGTGGAGTAGAGTAGAGTAGAGTAGAGTAGAGTAGAGTAGAATAGAATAGAATAGAATAGAATAGAATAGAATAGAATAGAATATGGCAACTTGGCCTAGAAGAGTTATTGAATAAAAGCATTTACTTAATTAATTAATTAGTATCCTGCCTTTATTATTTTTATAAAAAACTGAAGACGACTAAAATGAAATGGAAGTTCAAAATGAAAGAGACTCATTCCAGATTAAGAAACATCATCAGTGCTAGCTAGGTAACTCTTAACACTGATAATGTTACCTAGTTTGGTAAAGAAACGTCTATAAGAAAAACCACCCAGCTCAGGGGGCACCAAGGATCCCACATTCAGTAAGATACCGAAGAATTTCTTCAGTGCTTTTTTTTTCTGTTCTTAAGCAGCCTCTTATTTTAAATCATATTTAAATCATAAATCATATCTTAAGAATTAAAAAGTAAACTAGAATGGCTGGTAATGCCAAATTCAACAACATCCACAATAATCAGCATAATTAAATATTTCAGTGTTCGTCCAGGCCCGTTCCAGAATGGCCTGGACGATGTTCTCTAATTGATATGTAACTAGATCTACATGATGTTTAAACATCATTTACACGGAGTATCAAAATACAAAGGTTGCTTTCAAAGAAATTGGCCTACCTACCGGTGAAACTATTTTTACAAAGAGACTCAGCACTGGCCTGAAAAATATACTTTCTGCTGAGCAAAAAAAATCTTGGAAATGATTGTTAGCACAGCAATTTGCTGGAAGGAATTACAATCAATTATAGGTGACGCATAAGGCTAACTCAAGGCTATTGTACCAATGTTTGCATGCTTCAAATTTAAGCAGAACTCAGTGTAATTTAAATCGCTGCGATTCAGTTATGTTCTAGATGTGAACACGGAGGCTGGCAACACAGCCTTGTCAGATACAACATGTGTGTTCCAGGACTCAATTGACAGACATAAACCTACTTTTTCTACTGGGAGAGAAAGTGAAGTTTCGTCAAAGATACAGCAATTTCCCCTCCCTTCGCCGAAAAGAAGAAACAAACATGGAAGTGAAGTCTTTCCTTGTAGTAATCATTATTTTTTGGTTATCCATCAGGAAGGAGTACCCACTAGTAGTAATTCTATGTAGTTACATACCAATAAAGGAAAATATTTGCAGCTCAGGGTTGAGACAAGAGGTCCTTGATACTCTCTGAGCTTGGTTGTTTTCTTGCAGACATTACATTATCAAACTAGGTAACATCATCAGTGCTAGACTGTGGTGATCAATGCTAGACAGTGATGTTACTTAGTTTGGTTTCTATGCAGATCCTCCGTCATCATTATTCAACCTAGGTAAACCCAAAGGTGCTTTATCAAAAGGCAACAGTAATTTGTTCGTTTTTCCTTGAAGACGTTGCACTTCTAGAAGGAGAAGGAGAAGGAGAAGGAGAAGGAGAAGGAGAAGGAGAAGGAGAAGAAGAAGAAGAAGAAGAAGAAGAAGAAGAAGAAGAAGAAGAAGAAGAAGAAGAAGAAGAAGAAGAAGAAGAAGAAGAAGAAGAAGAAGAAGAAGAAGAAGAAGAAGAAGAAGAAGAAGAAGAAGAAGAAGAAGAAGAAGAAGAAGAGNAGAAGAAGAAGAAGAAGAAGAAGAAGAAGAAGAAGAAGAAGAAGAAGAAGAAGAAGAAGAAGAAGAAGAAGAAGAAGAAGAAGAAGAAGAAGAAGAAGAAGAAGAAGAAGAAGAAGAAGAAGAAGAAGAAGAAGAAGAAGAAGAAGAAGAAGAAGAAGAAGTAGTAGTAGTAGTAGTAGTAGTAGTAGTAGTAGTAGTCTTAAATCATTTAGGGAATTACACTCCTTGCCTTTTCTTTCCTCCCCGTTCATTGGAAACAATATTCTCCTCTTCCCCGTTACAGCTGATAGAGCTCTTTCCGCCAGAACAGAACAAACTTTGTTAGGCGTATGGAAGGCAGCCTAAGGCCTTTTTCCTGTTCCTTGGCTCAGATTATTAACAAAGATCAGACCAGTTTCCCCCCCCCCCCCCCAGTATGTGCTAAATGGCTTCAGCGGCCCATTACTCCACTTCACTGGAGCTGTTCCCCAATATCTAATTTCTCTGAAAGAAATGTGAAATCTACAACAATCTCTCCTTCCTCTCTATTCAGGAGGAAAAGGTAAGGAAAAGAAACAAACTCAGACAAAAATCCAGCCTGACTATCAAACTCTTGAAGATGCTTATGGATCCATGACATACATGTAGACATTGACATATGACTGGCTAGAAGCCGTACTCCGGGCCAGAGCTACGCTGGGAATTTCTTATGTACCGGTAGTCCTCGACTTACAAGATGGAGCCCAAATCTTCTGTTGTTAAGGGAGACATTTGTTCAATGGATTTTGTCCCATTTTACGTCATTTTTTGTTAAGTGAATCACTGGGCTGATAAGTTGGCAACCAGGTTGTTAAGTGAATTTGGCTTCCCCATTGACTTTGCTTGTCTGATTGTAAAAAAAAATGGGTTGCAAAAAATGGGAAGGAAGAGTGATCAGGTAGATTGGAAGGGATAAATCAAGGAAATCATGGATGGATGGAATTTATGAGTTCCTCAAAGAGAGAGAGATGAACAGTTTTTAAGCAAACTATGTTGTTGTTGTTGTTGTTAGTTGCGAAGTCATGTCCGACCCATCACAACCCCATGGACAACGTTCCTCCAGGTCTTCCTGTCCTCTACCATCTTCTGGAGTCCATTGAAGCTCACGCCTCCTGCTTCAGGGACTCCGTCCAGCCACCTCCTTCTCTGTCGTCCCCTTCTTCTCTTGCCCTCCATCTTTCCCAGCATGAGGCTCTTCTCCAGTCAGTCCTTCCTTCTCATTAGGTGGCCAAAGTACTTGAGTTTCAACTTCAGGATCTGGCCTTCTAAAGAGCAGTCGGGGTGGATCTCCTCTAGGACTGACCGGTTGGATCGCCTTGCAGTCCAGGGGACTCGCAGGAGTCTTCTCCAGCACTAGAGTTCAAAGGCCTCCATTCTTTGTTGCTCAGCCTTTCTTATGGTCCAAGCAAACTATACACTGGCGAAAACAAGGGTAGTTTGCAAGCATCCCAAGGTATGGAATAAACTAGGTTTAATTACATTTTGTCTTTTTTCCCCCATACAACAGATCTTTAATTCTTGGATTTACAATTCCCTATCTTTTTTTCCCCCTGCAATCTGTTTAACAACGCTCATCCCCAAAGGGGACAGTGTGATGGGTACGGATGAATGTATATTTAATTCTGAAATCGGCGGGTGAAAACTATGTCACCAAAAGGAACGTCTTTCTGGAAGAGCTGAAATGTATACTCCAGTTGAGTATTGTTTCCATGCCCATTCATCTTGTTTAAAAATCGAAATGAGAATTAACTGTAGTGATGCCAAAAAGAAAAAAAAATAAATTAATTAATAAAAACTACCGTCCTTTTATTAGTCAATATATTTGTTGCATAGAAAAGCCCAGATGTTCAACATGGGAGATCCTTCAATGTTATAGTTAGGCAATTACAGCCTGGTGTTCAGGCTGCTTAGGGGGCTTTCACAGTGCTGAGGTTGTGAAATGCAACTCCTATATATTGTATTTGAATCTTACTGAAGTCGTTGTATTTTGTCTTTCCGAGTTCAGACACATTCAGAATTGCTCAAGGCAGAAGATCCATCAAACCCTGTTGTCTAAAGAGGGAAGTATAACAAGCTTGGTATTATATTTACGCCAAGTAGACTACAGCTTAAAAAAAAGGTGATGCTAAATCTCTGTTGTAATAGAAATGTTAGCAAAACAGCAAAACGTTGCGATTGTGCAATGGAAGATTAATGGATCTGTCATCTGCTCTCAGAGCTTTCTTACACTAACACAATTTAAGGAGTGACAGAATGAAAATGTGTTGAAAATCTGAAGTGCTAGCCAAATGATTACAGCCTATTGTTAAGAGCTTTTTATTAACCGTTTAGC